TTCTTCTGCTGTGGCTCTGCCAGGAATTTGTTTGAAGGAAAGCAATTCTCCCTTCCTGTCATCTCCATCTATGAATCTGACATAAGTTATCAATAAACAGTCTATATTACTCTCCGTGGCTTCACCCATCTGCAGGGAGAAGCGGCCGTCTTACACTTTATCATTAAGCTGCTTCTCAAAGTCTTTTGACATGTCATAAATGCGCCTGCCGATGGTGTTGTTGGACAGAGGAATAGCCATTAGTTTGCTGGCTGCATAGTCATCAAGCATAATTGAAACCATGTCCATAGCACAGGGAAGTATTACCAACGCAGATTCAACCCAAGGATCATTTTGCTTAAGAAGCAAAAGTACTAACCACTCCGCCCAAATAGAATCAGTACAACAGTAATCTAGTGAAATAGTTTTATTTGTGTTCCATTGGTGTTGGTATACAGAATGTCTATGAACTGTTTACAGAAATTACACTGTGGTTACATACATCAGGTAAAAAATAGTGGATTACAGAGCACAAAAATATACATTCTGAACCAACAGATACAGTAAAAAGGTCATCATAGACTATGTGTGTGCAAAGAGGCTCGTGGGATTTCATCAAACAACAGGTTACAGTCCTGAGTCAGTACGTAGACAGAACACCAGCATCCACATCACTGAGAGCAACAGGATCGAACCAACTCACAGGACACAAGTTACCAGGACTAATGGGATAACAATATTAGTGACGAGTGGAAGAATGGAACCACATCCTGAAGTTTATCTCACAAAAGTCACAATCTCTACTTTGGTCTTGATTATCCACACAAAAATAGGGTCACACTTTATCATATCTAGACATTCATGAATGCATTAATTCAGCACGATTCATACATTATTCATGCTTATTTCATCCTTTAGTTCTGTAGAACCGCCCCCATGTTCATTCACTCCCCACGTTAACTGCTAAAAGTTTTGGATGGTGTGGGAAACATTTTTAATTCCAGGCCTTTGTTATTGAAGGATCGTGAGGATTGTGAATACTGATAAGTCACGATTTGTACAATTTATATAACCAGGAAAGTAGCATTAAGATTAAGGACCTCTTTTTTCAAGGCCATCATGAACAATAATGGATCATGATGACTGTGGTGAGTTTATGATGAGTTCATGTGCAGTGTGAAATGAGTCTATTAATGATGGTTATTTATTTATGAATTCATGAACTCAATGTTATCCTTTCCTCACAGTGAGACAAGTGAAGGTATCATGTTTTCCATTTACCTGAACTCATGTAATCCATAAGTGAACTCATCATGAACTAATGGATACACTGTATGTATTAGTGCATGAATATTGAGAATTAATGCATGCATCCTTGTCTAGATAGCTACTAAAATAGGAAATTAGTAAAATAGTATTGAAATCTCCCATTCAGACTAAGTAACTCACCTGCCATGAAACTGGAAGATGTCTTGTGTACCCATTGGGAGGACACCACTCTAATGATCACCATGGACAAAAACTTCCATGGTGTGACTTAATAATATATAATACGTACATTACAAGTTATTGCACGATCCAAAGCGAGTGTCTTCATTATAAAGTACAAATAGTGCAATACATTATGGCATACATATATTTCAACTCTTTTTGCAAGTTGTTGGTTGGGTGCCCTGACATATAGAAAGCCTAAACGACATTTCCCAATTGTGATGTCATAGTCTGATTCTATTCTACCAAATATTGCTTGGTCTGAGTTTGTTTTCCGGTGCAAAATCAGGTAATGTAATCAGTGTATCTGAGGAAAAACAAAACCAAAAACAATACCTTCCGCAAAATCCACAACTGAGATTGTGTGTCCGTGACATACAATACATCTTGTGCAGCAGCTACAGACGAGACATTATGAACTACGCACAAAAGCAACAGTATTTGCATAAAGTGTAGAGAATTAAATACAAAACAAATTACAGTGTGATTTTGAATAACAGAGGTCGGAATAAGGGCGGGTTCACACCTCAGTCCCAAGTGAACCAGAGCTCACTTTAAGCGGACCAATTGTGGTGCCAAATTAACAAATATACTGAATTTGTGGAGATTTGAAAGAACCAAACAAGTGGACGCTGGTCTTGGAGGCACATAAGCCAATGTATGACTTTATGAGGGCAGTTAATTGGTCCAGTTAAAGTAAACTCAAAAGTGCTTTGTGCTCTTTTATGTGACAAATGTATTCTTTACAGTTACAGTTGACACACATTTCTTTGTGAGTGCACACTTTTACACTGACCTCGAGAACACGTGGGGTCTGGGTCCAGCAGATGCTCAGGACAGGACAAGTCTAACGCTGAGGACAAAGGAAGCGTTGTGTGACGCCAATACAAGTCAGGTGTTTATTTGGTTTTCAAAATGATGTGATGATGAAAAACATTTTTCATGACATCATTTTCAGGTCCTGCTGTCATCTTGGCATTAGCACTGAAAGGAGGAATGACTAGGGAGTGTGGCGTTCTAAAGGGATCCTCTTTTCAGATAAATGCCCTCTATCAGGGCTTTCTCCAGGGATATTGTCAAGAGCGAGTCAGAACCTTCACAACTCAATTAGGGATGCACCGATGTGAACATTTTGACCAATATCGATATCCAATGTTTTTTTTCTGTTAATGCTGATAATCGATATTTGCTGATATCAATGTTTGTTTGTTTTTTTAATTCTGAGATGATAAAAGTTTGTACATACTGATTCACTGAGTGAAAGCTATTAAAGGAGCTATACCCGTTTCTGCAAACTTTTGTATACAGTTTGAATGCTTAGCACCGCCCCTCAACTCGCTCACAGGCTTCTCATTTCCCTCCCACGGAGCCCTCTAGTTTTATTTGCGATCTGATTGGTATGCAAACATTAGCATGAGCGCAACTTCTGCAAAACAATCACTGATGAAATGGTACAAAAGCAACGCACTGCTAACAAAATATATAACAATAAGCAGTTGTTCTAAAATTGCAATGCCTAAAGGTACAGTAAAAATAGAGAATTCAAATAAATCATCACCAATAATTGACAGGACATTAAAAAATAGATAAATATTGTTTTAAATGGAATCAAGAGTTCTAAATTTCATGCTATAATATTTTTGTGTTTCATAAAGATGATTTTTAGTTCTGCAATCGAGTATCCACTAGCAAGCCTGAATTTGGATTGATTTTGCATCGGCGCTGTTTTCCTCATTGTAATAAACTCCTACAAAAGGGAAAAGAATCCACATCACTCTCCCGGTTTCTCTCCTTATGTCAGGGCTGTAACACGTACGCAGTGTACAGTGTGAATGGACAGCGGCTGTTACAGTTACTACAGTGGAGTTACTCTGGGATCAGCAGAACAGTTCTGATAAATAATATAATAAATAAGGCACAAGTGTTACTTGTTATTTGAGAAATGGAACCCTTAATTGTCATTTTGGTGATTTGTTAATGCTGTAAATAATACAAAGTTCGGAGCCAGGGTGAAGCTCTGCAGCAGGAAGCTTGACAGCTCTGATTGTACAGTCTGCTTTGAGCAGGGTTGGTTTGGGGCGACCTTTGGCATTTTAGAATGTATTCAACAGTTCTGTCTCCCTGTTGCCTCGGTTTCTTCAACCGTCCATCCATCCATCCATTTTCTTCCCCTTAATCCATTTCTGGGTCGGGGGGGTGGCAGTCAGAGCTGCACCCAGTACACAGAGCACCAGCCCCTCACTGATCCTCCTGCAGGTGGTGAGTCCACATGAGCTGAGATCTTTCAGTGGGGGCTTCAGGCAAAGTGGGGTTAAGTGTCTTGCCAAGGACACAACGACAGCAGTCATCAGTGGGAGTCGTGAAGTAGGTCTTGCGGTGGGCTCAAACCCACGACCTTCAGGCTCAAAGGCCAATGCTCTACCAACTGAGCTACTGTCGCCCCCTTCAACCGTATTCCACAAACATACTGCATTGTAATTATGAAAGTTAGCTAAGTGAACTGAGATTGTGGCAGATGCTACGCTGATGCTAACGCATTTCTTCCGTTCCTTTTTAGGCATTTTCCTAAAATTGTCACAACTGCACACGCCACAGAAAAAAGCATTTTGATTCTGAATTGGTGAATATTTACATAATTACTTCCTGTTCCTCGTAGGACTTGACGCTGAAACCCAACAGTACACATCGGTTGTGCTTATCGGCCCAATTTTACTCATCGGTCCGATGCTGATAAGTTAAGAAATTATGAACATCGGCCGATATCGATATGTTTACCGATATATCGTGCATCCCTAAAATCAATGAATTTCAGCAGTTAGGAAAGTGTTCTTAGAATAAAGCTAAGTGCATTTATTGCAGCAAAATACACATTTTCTAAAAATATACAACATAACAAACTGTCAGTTGCTCTTGCAGTTGCTGTTTTTTGTAAATATTTTACTGTAGATGTGAGTTGTCATGTGAGTAAACAAGGATATTAGTAGACAAAAGACAAACCTGTGCTGATCATTTTCTTTTCTTTTTTTACTGTAGCCTTTAACATAAAATAAATAAATAATGTGTCTGAACCATTGAATTTTCAATTATAATGACCCCGATCCCAAAAAAAAAAAAAAATGAAACGATGTTAAACACAAAAAGTCAGGACTTTGAAGAATTTAAAACATTGGAACATACAGTATTGTTACAAAACATCTCATTTACAAAAGACCCACTGTATCCATTGCTCCAAACAATGAACTGTGGTTGTAGTAGATGCTCATAATGTGACGAGCAAAAGTCTGCAGAGTTCCAGGACGGCAAACACAACACCGGCACATGCAACAGAATGGCTGGCTTTACTCGGAAATTGCAAAAATATATTCACATCTATAGCCTGAGTGAGGGCAGTGTGCGCAAAACATTTAGAGAGCTCACGATTCACGAGTTCACTACAGTCAGGTGAGCAGGGGGAGCAGGGGGGAGAAAGACCCCAGGGTGAGGCTCCAAGTGTAGGCAGCGTGAAAGACATAAAGGGGCTCAGGGAAAAGTCACATCTCCACCTGAGTGTCTTTGGCTGCAGCGGCGTCCTTCAGCGAGCCCGTAATGGTGTATAATCTGAAAAAGGACGAGGACACAAAGGGAAAAGGAGTCAGTCCAGAGATAAATCCAAACAAACAGATTTAGCGAGACTGGGACGAGACTATACCAAATGGCACAAATGGGAAAACAATTGCTTTCACTCGAAGAATGCACAGAGTGGCTGAAGAACCTGTGATAAATGTCACAGGGCGAGATACACGCTGTTGAGAACTGGGGGATGGAAACTCCTAATCAGGGTTATTTAAGTTGTTTTTCTTATTTTACAATAAATTGCTTTACACCACTATTAAAACATTTTTGCCAGAGCAATAATAATCTCAACAAATGGCCTCACATTTCCTGGATACTGGATTAAAAAAATGAAACAAAAAAAGTTACATATCCTGCATTATTTTTGCCCTGGCTATTTATTTTGACTTTTAATGTTATAGAAAAATATGGATACACATTAAAGGATAGGCAAGCTTTTCCCCAAAGAGAGGTTTCAATACAATGTCTTTATTCTCAATATTCAATGATTGCATGTAGCAAATAAACGCATGTTTGTTTCAAATATTCAATTTCAACTTCAAAGAGTACAAAATGATTGCCTGCATTGAATGCTCTTGAACTGCCATCTTGTCTGAATTGGCAAGGGCAAGGCAAGTTTATTTGTATAGCACAATTCATACACAAGGCAACTCAAAGTGCTGAACAAAACAAGTAAGCATTAAAATCATAAATAATCACAGTACATAAAAAAATAATAATAAAAAAAAAAAAATCAAAAAAAGATAAAAATATAAAATTCCTCAGTTTTATGCACAGCTAAACAGAACCGTCTTTAACCTGGTTTTAAACATTGTGTGAAGAACATGTGTTATTGTGTTTGATGGTGTGTGTGGTCTACATGGTCTGAAACACTCCTGGCCTTGGAGGAGCTTCAGTCTTTTAAATACAGATCTGACATAATAGCGTATGTCTATGTCATAAGATTTTGTAGTTGCTGCCCTGGAACTGTTGTGTGTGCTTGTTTGTGTTCTTTATGAAAAACAAATAGAAATGGAACATATATATTACACAATGTTAGCATTATAGCAGGAAGAGCTTCATCAAATGTGAAGACAGTGAATGGTTATTGAACACACACACACACACAGAAATCACTTTTTCGGCTTGGAACATCCAAGCTGAAAAAGCAGAGTGCATGATTTATTTTAATCCGGCCATCTTTCCTCTGATGTATCAACTTAAAAAAGGTCGTTCTTGCTTACATAATGGAATGATGCTAACCATATTTATAGTCATGGAACTGCTTCTTATTGTTGTATTTACATAGCTGGAAGTTTGTACTTGTATTGAACGGGACAGTCGCCAGAATATATCTCAGAGGATCTTCTCATCTCAGACACACAATTTCCCCCTTTTGTTATCTTTAAATCAGAACCAAATCACATCTTTTTTTCAATCCGACAGCGCTTGCTCTTGTGGGAATACCTGGATTTCCTGAAGTTGTTGCGTTTGGTCATGGCCCTGAAGCAGGGGGATTTGGTGCAGGACTGTTTGAGGTCCACCAGTTGGTAGATCATGGGGTTGTACATGGCCGAGGACTTGGCCAGCAGCGTGGGGATGACAGAGACCGGGATGGGCACCGAGTCTGGCTCTCCGAATGCAGACACCACCGACACCACGGCGTAAGGAATCCAGGCTATTAGGAATCCAGCACAGATCAACATGGCCACCTGTTCAAAAGGACGAGATTAATTATTGTCAATGTAGTACAACGATAAAGCCGATATAGGATTTAAGGATAGGTACGCTCCAGGACATTTATGTTATGATTTTTATCAGAAAAACATACCCAAAATGCATTGTACCAAGTGCTAAAATACACCAATCGTCCTGTGTATGGACAATTATGGACTTTTGTGAACCTGCTTTCCTTTGGAATAGTAAGTGTTTAATATTATGCGTAGCGATTGTCCATCCACTTTCTTCCCGATAATTCATTTCTGGATTGGGCGGGTGGTAGTCCGAGGCACAAGCCCCTGCAATTGCGTTACAATTATTTTCGTCATCCTGAAATAGTTTCTTCCACGGTTTCTATAAATGCACACGTTTGTGCAAGAAACGCCTCTGTTCTTGTCGACGAGTTATGGCGGACTATGCACCAGTGCTGCCCTCTCCAATCCAATCAGAATCGTCAAAGCTGATTGGTCAAAACGTGGAAATACCAAAAACAGCAGAAATGTTTAGCAGAACGCCTTCATGGTTGAGACGAAACGCCAATGAGCACAGGCCATTGACATATTAGGACTCTGGGACTTGTTTTTACTTCATGAGTATAAATAGATACACTTTTTCATCCAGTTCTTTGTTTTATCACGGGCAATGGGTTCAGAACTCCTCATTGTAACTGTGTGGAATAATAAGTCTGGCCTCACTTTCTGTTAGAAGAGAGTAACACTGCATTAATTATTTTCAATCAGTGCAAATGACAGCTGAGTGAAAACATAACAACACAGTCTTAGGTAGAAGAATAAGTGCAGCCACAATATTGCAACTCTGTAAATTTGAACAACAAAACTACACTCAACACTGCAATCTGCTAAAAATATGTTCAGGTTAATGCCGCCAACTTGATGCTGCAAGCGCAAAAGCTCATGGGGGATTAAACTGATGTGAACCAACATTGCGGTGCGCATCTCCACACATCACTAAAGTACTGGACAATGTATTTTAATATGACTCAACAAGCATTCAAGCCACTGCTGACAAAACTTTTGGATCTGCTGCTTTCAGGAACCTTCCACATTAAACACAAGTGAGGAGCACTCATAACCACTCTCATGCTCCGTAAATATGTCTTCACTGCACTCAGAGGTTTGACACTTTTCTTCAGCAATGTTCATAAAATAATTCCAAGGTGTGATACTTTCAGCGAAGTGGCAAGGTCTTTGTCTGGGATGTCAATTCTCACCTCAACTACCATGTGGCTTAGAAGTGTATCACAGGGTCACCGGATCGTTTGCTTTTAATCACTGTCCCTACAAAAGCTGATCTAATAAAGAAGGCTTTTAGATGTTTTACTTTTGCATTTTAACCTTAATCATTTGCTTCAGGATCTTTAAACTGTTTTGTTTCTTGCACTTGTATGTATGTGTGTGTGTGTGTGTGTGTGTGTGTGTGCGCGTGTGTCTGTGTGTGTGTGTGTGTCATTGAGCCCTCCTTGCATAAACAAAGATAATTAAGTGAGTGAGCAAATGCAGTAAAATAAATCCAATAAAATAGACTTAACACATAAATAAAAAAATAGTACATAGATACAAAACACAGACGTACCTTTGTGAGCTTCATCTCCAGATTCTGGCTTTTGTTGACTCGTGCGTCCAGGTTAGAGATCTCTTTTGCAGATGACTTGACCTTAAAGATTATTTTGACGTAGGAGAAGACTATGACAATAGTGGGCAGGATGAGACAGAAAAAGAGGATGGACAGGACGAAGCTTTGTCCTGACACAGTGGCCTGAGCCAACCACCAGTCCAGTGTGCACGAGGTCCCAAACGGCTCGGGCGCATAGTGACCCCAGCCCACCAGGGGCATCGTGGCCCAGAATGCAGCATACACCCAGATAAACACCAACACCAGGAAGGCGTGATGCCGCTTCAGCCACGTTCCTGTGAGTGCAACACAAAGCAATTGTTTAGGATTCATAAAACTTGATGGTACTTCCTGTTTGAGATCTTTAAATAATGTGTATTATTATTGTTATAGATCAGAAATAATAATTAATAATAATTTGAATGATCCTTGTTATTTTTATTTTTTTTTAATTTGATTACGATTTCATTTTACTGGTTTTAAAAATCAAATCAAGGCATTTCTTTTCTCACTTTAGGTTAATTGGAACGTCAACCCCAGATGCAAGATATTGGGGGAACAGTTTATTTCTTTTCTATGGCTGTACACCAACTCTCCTGGATGCATTTGGCAGGAACTGGACCACTCTGTTGTAGTCCAAAAAAAACTAAAACCCATAATCTCTCAGGTCTATTCAAAATAATGGCTTTTAATTTTGGCTAAACGCAAACTCAGAACCATTCATTTTTATTTGCATCTTGATGTGCTAAAGCGTCTCGGCAAAGCAGAAATGCTTTAGACAGATTAATTAAAAATGATTTAGAGAAATGATTAACCTTTAATATGGATACACTATGATACAGTCCATAGGTAAAAGAAAATATACAATACATATATTGCATAAAGAAAAAAGGAAACATGAAAAAAGAACATATAGCCGCTGGTCATCATAAAGGCATGAACTACAGTAATTCAATAGTTTGGAGCTTAACAGCAGTTAGCAGAACTCAGGGCTGTCCAGAGTTTGAACAGTTGCATTCCTAGAGTTCCTCAGACGACATATGTATCTGAACTGGACATCGCGAAAAGATGCAGAACAGGAGCGGACGCCACAGAAGGCAAGCTTCTCACTAGCACTGCTGTGAGTTCTTATAACAGTTGGATTTGGTATTAATTAGTTTAAATGCAAAAACTTGTTATATCTTAAAATTCAGCTCATAACATTTGAGAGCAAAAATAATCAAATAACATGTTTTCTAGTTGAATGGGTACCAATCAAAACATCTTATTTCAATCATACTATCACTTCATGACAAAAGGAGTGGCATTATAAAAGGCATGCCGTAAATCATGACTCTCTCAAAAAATGGCTTTAAAGACATCAGACAGGTAAACTCTCAGCTGAATACTGATCAGACTTCAACTTTAACAGCCACAACAAATCAATGAAGCCAGGGCCCTTTTCTCAAAAAAAACATTACTGCAATCAAACAAGTAATTGGGTGGACTGCTCTGGATTGCTGTGGTTTAGCAAACAAACCTTACACAGCTAAGTGTATAGTCTCATGGTCTCACGGTCAATACGGCTTCAAAGTGTGGGACATGTTAATGCCATGAACCAGCGGGGACTCTGAGGCGCTCAAGGACGAGCCTGTTGCTGGTTTCAGATGTATGCACCTTGAAGCTGGAACAAGTTTCCTTTGCGTTGACTGATTGTATGAATAAAGGATTTTCTCTACCATTAAACATGTATTTTTTTGTCATTAATATTTGATGACATCACCCTCACCTTCTTATTTTAAGCTATTAAAATATTTTAGATTATAAACATATTTTCTGGTAACTATTGTAAGAGTCAAAAGTCAAACTTCTAGTCTTGGTTTAGAGCTAAATATTGAACCAATCCACATGGCACGAAAAATAAAAAAACATGTCCATGATGGCCAGTAGAAAGGACTTTAAGGCATAGAGAGTTTTGGGATTCTAATGACCAGATCCAATAATGATCTGGATGAATGTTTGGATTTTCTTTTTCAATATTTCTTTAAAAATGTCCTTCTTTCCACTATAGTTAAATTGACATCTACCCTCCAATTATACAATACAAACCTCTGGCTTTATCCCCACAAAATTAAAAAGCAATCAAGGAGAGCATCATAAAACACAAGTTGCTTCAGCTCTAAACTTAGGTTGGATACATGGTCCATAAGTATTTACAGTTTCTAGTCCAGGTGATGACTTTCCTGGTTAACTATAGATCAATAAACAAAAAAATTGTGACGGTGAAGGCGCTGGTATATACCGTAGCTAAGATGGCAGATCTTCAGGTAGCGGTCCAAGCTGACCATCGTCATGGTGATGAGGCTCCCACAGCCAAAGAAGAAGCCCGCCCAGCCGTAGAACGAGCATCCCTCCCATCCAAACAACCAGCGGTGCGCCAAACTGGACACAACGAAAAAGGGCTTTCCTGTCACTGTGGGGACAGGAGGGAGCGGACAGAGAAGGAAGAAGGATGAAAAAAACCATTGGCGTAAGTAGATAGTGGTGATATAACTTAAACAAAACATATACAGTTCATACGTAACAACAAACATATTATTATTTCATATTCCAGATTCATCTTATTTTAAAGAGCATAGAAATGGGGTGGTCCTCAATTTTTGTGCCTTTACTCTGACGCAACTGTTCTTTGGTCAGGTGGGCAAAGTCTCGCTCAAACAAGATGCTTGCGTACCCCTGCTTGAGAAACACTGATCTTATTCATAAGGATCACCCTGTCCCACCACAGATTGTAGATACTTCCATGACTTAGCTCTGAGAAATCCTTTTATGCCTCTTCCGTAATCTTTTCTGTCGGTACAATAAACAAAAGTGTGAGCCTCCTGAAGCTACTGCCTGTAGATGTACATAACGATATGTTCAGTTGAAATACAATACTGTACATATGAAGAGAAGAATTGGTTAAAGCCTTCTTTGTTGTTGCGTTTCGGTTTCCATGGGGCTGTGTGGAGGTTGTCTGTGACCTGCCAAAGCCTCACAGGCACAAAAGAGATACAGATCTGAACTCTGTGTGGTATGACAGGAGAACTTAATCGGTTCTGAGAATTCAAGGGAAGCCAGAAGGCAGTAAGCTCAGAGCAGAGATGTATAGAGTGCGTTCATCACCAGATTAACAGTATTAAAACTCACATCACGGGTTCGGTTTGATAGATAATTGATGGTATGATCCATCAGAAATGTAGTGGCAGTCAACAAAGTAGGCAACTTGTTTGTAAATGTTGTTATAGCGGGTTGTCAAGTTTGAAAATGCAAAGTACGCAGGAGTTTATAATCATTCACAATTCAATTAGGAAAAATTGAATTGAGTTCAGGATTGTGTGAATGTGTGAGAGGTGTGGAACCTTTGGCCGATACGTAGAACAATCATGTTATTGTTTTGTTAGGTCGTGGTTTTGGATAGACCTCATCTCCTAATGCACCCTCTTTGTTATATCCGGCATTATGGCTCAATCCGGATCTAATATGACCAAACAATGCTTTACAGTATTACAGGGGAGTTTTTTCGCAAGCTCTAGACAGGATCCACACTGTATTAAATAGAGTTGTGTACAAGGTGACACGTTGGCAGTCCATTCAGCTCGTTCTTTTATAACAGATCACCTATGAAGTCTTGCTGTAAAGTTCATTCATTGTAGTCAAAAAGGGATTTGCATTTGTGAACATCTAATATCAATTATACAATGATCGCCAAAGCAGAAGGATTTTAACAAATTGTGTTCACGTTCATCCACAGAACTGAGGTCCAGCCTAAAATGCTACTGAAAAGAAGACGTATTTTTTCACTACTATTTGTTTGCATTTAAAAATCTAAAATAATATATATATATATTTTTATTTTTTTATTTATGTATTTATTGCACGGAAGCCTCAAGCTCCAAGGCCTCTGTTAGAGGACCCAAGCTTAGAGAAGGATAACCGCCAGTGGAGGGCAAATGAAATACGGGGGAATTGGAGAGGGAGGAAAAAAGGTGCTAGGAGCGTAGATCATTATCTATAGATCTTCATTCCATTCCATCTTCTTCCGCTTCATCCGTTGCCGGGTCGCGGGGGCAGCAGTCTAAGCAGAGACGCCCAGACTTCCCTATCCGCACACACTTCCTCCAGCTCGTACGGGGGGACCCCAAAGCGTTCCCAGGTCAGCTGAGAGACATAGTCCCTCCAGCGTGTCCTGGGTCTTCCCCGGGGTCTCCTCCCGGTGGGACGTGCCCGGAACACCTCCCCAGGGAGGCGTCCAGGAGGCATCCGGAACAGATGCCCGAGCCACCTCAACTGGTTCCTCTCGACGTGGAGAAGCAGTGGCTCTACTCCGAGCTCCTCCCATGTGACTGAACTCCTCACCCTATCTCTAAGGGAGCGCCCAACCACTCTGCGGAGGAAGCTCATTTCGACCGCTTGTATCCGCGATCTTGTTCTTTCGGTCATTACCCAAAGCTCATGACCATAGGTGAGGGAGGGAACGAAGATTGACTGGTAAATCGAAAGCTTTGCCTTTCGGCTCAGCTCCCTCTTTACCACAACGGTCCGATACAGCGACCGCATCACTGCGCACGCTGCACCGATCCGCCTGTCAATCTCACGCTCCATCCTCCCCTCACTCGTGAACAAGACCCCGAGATACTTGAACTCCTCCACTTGAGGAAGGACCTCTCCACCCACCTGAAGAGGGCAAGGCACCTTTTTCCGTTCGAGCACTATGGCCTCAGATTTGGAGGTGCTGATTCTCATCCCAGCCGCTTCACACTCGGCAGCAAACCGTCCCAGTGCATGTTGCAGGTCCTGGTTCGTTGGAGCCAACAGGACAACATCGTCCGCAAACAGCAGAGATGAAATCCTGTGGTCTCCGAACCGGACCCCCTCCGGCCGCTGGCTGTGCCTAGAAATTCTGTCCATAAATACAGTGAACAGAACCTATAGATCTTCATATTACATTTATGTATATTAGTATTATATAAGGTGTAGCTGTTCTGATTCTTTTTGGGTTATGTGCGTTCCTTGTAAAAAGCATATATCAACCCTTAGTTTGGATAGATGAGAAAGTATTCTATTTATTTTAGATAGTGTGTGAAAGCCACAAAGATTCCAAGAAATAATTTGAAGCTCTTGCATAGGCTTTAGTAAGTAGTAGTAGTAGTAGTAGTAGTAGTAGTGGTAATTCTATAGTGGATCAAGATAGGGGATGTGGGTGGGGGAGGAGGGGTGCAAACAATACAAGACATTACTTTGAGAGATTTGCAACATGAATATACATATAATGTAGCACATACAGATGACTGGGGTGTGGAGCTGCAGAGGCAGAGGAGTTTCAGCTTTCAGCTATCAAACTGCATCGCGGTGGAAATGATCAAACGAGTCATGGGGTAATTTCACTGTCCTTGAATAGTTGATAAATTATATAAAGTTTGTCTACGTTCAGCGATGTTCACACATTCTTGAGTCTGTACTTTCATGATGGGATATAATACTTTCCTCTGTGTGTTCATTTCCTTTGGGAATTGGTCGTTATGTCCCCAGTGTGTTCCTTAGCTATCTTCCTTTATTTTTCACAAGTAATTTGTCCTGAAAGTGTTCGAATAATTGTGTGGGCTTTTTCCAATAGGTGAACTCCAATAAAAGTAATGTTGCATGATGTTTCCGGGGTTATTTTTACCAAGTCTTTAACGACTTGTGTTTTAATTGGGTGCTCAGTCCCACAGGAGGAGCTCGGAGTAGAACCACTGCTTCTCAACGTCGAGATGAACCAGTTAAGGTGGCTCGGACAACTGTTCCGGATGCCTCCTGGACGCCTCCCTGGGGTGGTGTTCCGGGCACGTCCCACCGGGGAAGACCCAGGACACGCTGGAAGGCAGGAAGACGTCTCTCAGCTGGCCTGGGAACGCCTTGGGGTCCCCCCGGATGAGCTGAAGGAAGTGTGTTTGGATAGGGAAGTCTGGGCATCTCTGCTTAGACTGCTGCCCCCACGACCCGGCCACAGATGAAGTGGAAGAAAATTTAATGATATGGAATGGTATTTCAGTCAGACCAGAAAATATGAGGTTGTCGTGCATGGAGCGTGCTTGTAGGTCTAAGACAGTTTCTTTATGTTGTTTATTTGCTGCTGTAACGTTGCTGACAGTACCGTGGTGCACATGTCCTTGTTAGATGTTTGTAGGGATAATGTGTTGATGATGTGTTTATGAGCAAACTCTAAGTTTGAGTGATATCTTTAACATCCTGATGCAACATTACAAGCAGATCGAGTTTTTGTTACTGCTTGCCATTAAAGTACCCTCTCCTTCCGTGTCAAGGTCGTCCGTGTCAGTGGATGAGTCTGTTTTCCTCTTTTCGCTGGCTGTGGGGTTAGACTCTCTGGTTTTGGAGTGTCCATGGTGATATCCTGTTGCTGTCTGTTGTAGTAGAAGTCGATGTAGGTCTCCAGGCTCTCTATGTCCTCCACTTTGTCGCGTGGTGTTTATTGTTATTGTCCGATTTCCAATTCAGGGATTCAGGTTGTTGTTGGAAGGTGTTCATTACAGTATCTTAATGTTTTGCCTTTTGCCGACCGTTTGATGCACTCCGCCATGTTGTGTCACCCCATCAACGTTCCGCTACTGCTCCATCCACCTCGTCTTTTGAATTATTCAGCTACGTAAACATTTTTGTCTACTCGCTAACGTGACACGTGCAATTCAATTTCATTGTTCATTTCCCTGAATCATAACAGCAGAGTTGCTAATACACCAACAGCAGATTAACAATTAGAACACAAGAATCATTGGTATGCATAATTGTTTGCTGTTGCTGCTTCATCAGAGACTTTTAAATCTAGTCTAAAGACACATTTGTACGCCTTGGCTTTTAGAATCTGGGTTTAACTTTTTTTGCATTTCACATCTATTTGTGTGAATTCAATGCAACTTTTATGTTCTTGTTTTCTTTTGTGCATGTGCAGCACTTTGGGCAGCTGGTGTTGTGATATACATATGAAAGTTGACATTAGCATTAACATTGATGTAACAGGTTAGAATTAAACAGGTGAGTAACTTGGAAAAAGCAGCTTAAAAAATTAAAAAAGTGCTTCAAAAGGTAATGTTGGCTAAATGTTAATGTCAAGAGGAAACCAGTGTCTCGGATCACCCCCTGCAATTAGACCCTCCTGAATCAGCTAAACAAAAGTCAAAAACCAACAGTGGGAGTATAAAGAAACCGTGAAAGAGAGATCCACTCCCAGGAATGAACAGGCTGAGTAGGCTCGCAATATTCCGATTTAGCCTCAGTTTCAATATGAGATTTCCACTAGCTAAGTATGCTATCATGTTCCTTCCATTACATTGTTCTCTAACATTATTGAGAATTCAAATATGAAAACAAAATCCAATTTGCGGGTGTCATAAATCAGCAGATCAAAACACAATTTGAGAGAAAGAATTGTGGAAA